AGTGCCATAATTATCCTGAAAGAGTCTTTCGTTGAAACTGGAGAGAAAGTCTCTTTGAAGTCAATACCTTCCTTTTGGGTAAAGCCTTTAGCTACAAGACGAGCCTTATATCTTTCCACATTACCTTTCGAATCCCTCTTGGTTTTAAAAATCCATTTGCAGAAAAATATCAAATTCTTATAATCCAAAACACTCACTTCTTAAATATAATCTGGAATGTACTTTCTCAATAGCCTTCAGAGGTTGTTGAAGTTTGAGGAAGGTTGGACCAAAAGTATAGGAAGAGTGCAAGAACAAGGTGTTCTTGGTGATCCACATGAGATAAACAATTCTAGAATACCGGGAGCAGATGTGAGTGAAACACATTCTAACGGGTCTTGGAGATTGCAGGAATTAGATCAGCAAGTCTAGTAAGTTTTTTATCCAATTAATGGTTTTCTCCCTTATCAATTCTTTGTGTTGTTTACATTATTGATTTCATACAAGCCGTCAATTCAACATAGAGTAGTTAATTCACATGAACTGAATCTAGAATAATTAATTATTGTGACTTGTTGCAATATTAACCAACGATAATTTTTAATTCCGCATTATTCACCTATTCACCCCCTTCCCACCTCTAGGGTTCAATGCGGATCAAAGGTGTCTTCTACTACTTACATTCCGAATTGAAGTCTCAAAATCACCTTAAAGAAGATCGGTTACTGTATTATAAAGGATGATCAGCAAGTAAAACCGACCAGAGTTCTACTCCTGGCTCAACATATATTGTTTCTTTTCTCCCTTTCTTCCCTTATATTAAGCCCCTTTACACAAGTAATACAAGTACAGCTAATGCAGGAACGACAACACTGTACTAATGACCATCCGCTTTTTAGTTTGCTGCTTCACATTTTTGTCTCTTGCAAACCTGCATGTTAACCTACTCTTTCTTGATCTGAATGGTCCCTGCTTTAACAGAGACGTAACTCCCGAACATGCTGAATTATTAACAAGATTTCCAGTGAAGCTGCATCTTTAGGATAGTTTTGAGTTCTTCAATAGAGGACTTCGTAGCTTGAGGAATAGGCTCTGGTACAATAATAGCTTTCTTTGATGGAACGATTGGATAGAGGGCATTTTGGAGCTTGAAGAATAGGGAATTAATACCATGTTGAAACACCTCGTCCAAAAGCTTTTGGTTCAACTTTTAAGCCTTGATGGTGGATCGAGCTTGTGGAAGTAAAAGGGATGGCAAGTCTCTGATTCGATATCCACTGCCCCAGAAAGAAGCCAGACAAAGGCCATTGATAGCCATAGCAACCACTGAGCAAGCAGGTGGAACGGCTTGAGCGCATCCAAGGAATTGAGTTGCAAGAAGTCCTGCCAGCGTTGAACTTTGCATTCCTGTGCACAACGAAATTGTCCTGCATTCATCTTCTTCTAACCTGCCACAGTACCATCCTACTATAAGATTAAATTCACCATCCTACAGTGTAATAAACATGCACGCTTTTAAAGTCGTACCATAAATTAATTATACTTTGTTCAAAACCTCAGCCAACAATAAAGGGAGCATGAGTTGACAGAACATCCTACCTCAAAGGGGGAATTTTTGAGAACCAATAGCCCAAGATGAATGCCACAACATGGAACGACAATACAGGGCAGACCAATCTTAGACCTTCAGCAGAAAGAATTTGGCTCCTATTTATAGCAAGAGGGCTTCCAATGCACATTGAGGTACAAAACATTGCAACCAATGGCATCACAGGCTTTATAACAGATACAAATGGTTTGGCATAAGT